TGTCACATATATATTTTAAAGCAATCTTTTATTTTGCATTTCACATTATTACTTGTTTCAAAAATAAAAACAAAAACTATACTTACATTTCAAGGGTTAAATTCTTTCGTTCACATAAACAGACACATACGCTTTAAATTGTTCAAGTGCGCGGTTAAAAAATTATTAAGATGCCGGTTTCCTTGGAGACCTATGAGTCACCTGCCGAGCCAGTGAATTTCACCTGTGACCTATTTATTTTGGAGCCCAAAACACAACACTTTAAATTTGATTCAGTGATGCTAAATACAGAATCTACCAAGATACAAAATTACTATATGTGATTTACAGACTTTTAAAGATTGTCTCATAATTTTCCATTCAATATAATGAAGATCAATGTTTACAAGCATATTCAAGGAATTGTGGTCCCCCGCTTTCTGTGTTTTTGTGGTTGAGATGTCATTCTTATGAGATATTGTGTGTAATATAAGCACCCTATCTTATGTCATTTATTTAGAAATCATCACGAAACTCCAAGGTCAAATTGTTAAAGTTCTCGGTATCCAATGAAAGGTCTTCTCAAAAGGATTACATATAAGTATGAAAGCCCTAGCCCTTACCATTCAAAAGTTATGGTCAAGGTTAAAGTTTTTTCATAAGTACGAAAAATCTCCAAGGTCAAGGTCAAAAGGTCAAGGTTGTTGATATCCAATGAAAACTGTTGCCACAAAGAGTACATATGTTAAATGTGAAAGTCCGAGTATCTACTGTTCAAAAGTTGTGACCAAGGTCAAAGTTTTTGAAAAGTAGGTCAAACACCAAAGTCAAGGTCAAAGGGTCAAAGTTCTTGGTATCCAATAATAGGACTTCTCAAAAGAATTACTTTTATGAAGTATGAAAGTCCTAGGCCTTACCATTCAAAAGTTATTGTCAAGGTTAAAGTTTTTTCATAAGTACGAAAATCTCTTCAAGGTCATGGTCAAAGGTCATAGTTGCTGAAATCCAATAAAAGGTCTTGTCACAAAGAATGTATATGTCAAATATGAACGTCCTTGTATCTACCATTCAAAAGTTATGGCCAAAGTAAAAGTTTGGAATTTTTGTGTAAAAGTGGGTCAAACTCCAAGGTCAAGGTCAAATTTGGTGGTACCCAAAGAAAGGTCTTATCACAAGGAATACACATATGAAATATGAAAGTCGTAGCTCCACTAAATCAAAAGTTATGGGCAAGGTTAGAGTTATTGTTACGGACAATAATGAGTTGCTTAATATCACATTATCATCGATTTACAATAAATAAACCTAAATTGGTGAATACTTTTCGCAATATTGGGCCAACGTTGGACCAGCATTTCATCTCAAACATTACAGGCTACCTGTTCATGTAATCCCAATATTCCTACTATTGGACCAACTCCAGTCCAGTCTTACAAGCCCAACAAAGAGCGATGCCTCATTATATTGTCAACATTTATCAAGCTGGACCAACGCTGGGCCAACAATGAATATTTAACAATAAGTGGCCACCTTTCGTGTCAACATGTACTCAGTTAGACCTACGTTTGACCAACATTTCATACCCAACACACAATGGTCTTGATCCTGTCAACATTTACTCGGTTGGACCTACGTTGGGCCAACATTTTGATGTCCAACAAAAAGTCGGTTTCTTGTCAACATGTTACTACAATGGGCCAACATCACATGCCCAACACCGTTGGTTTAGCTTTCATACCAACGTAGATGAACGTTGGACCAACGTTGGGCCTACATTTGTTCCCCAACGCCAACACTCTACCAACCATACAACCAAAAACTAACGTTGGCCCAACGTAGTCACGCTATCTGGGATAGTAGTTAATTTTTTTCTGGAGTTGAGGCATAAAATTGCGTGGTTCTACTGCATTACAGTGTGTATCTCAAAGATATGTAAACTTATCAAATGTTTCATGAACTTCAAAAAAATACAGAAAGGATAAAATAATTATAATATTATTCATGTCTCAAGATATATACAATTGTGTTCATTTATAAGCATGTGTGTATGGCACAGTGGTTACGGCTTCTGCTCTAGAGTCGCGGAGAAAGGAGTTGATCCTTACGTCGTTACGTGTTCGAATCCAACTGGGACGTGGAGACCGATCATTCAGATGAGACCGTATATAAACTGAGATCCAAGTGTCGCAGTAGGTGTTGGCACAAAACATTCCCTCACTGCTCAATGGCACTGAGAGCCGATTAGTAGACAAAATTTGCAGCTCTGAAGGGCTAATTGTAATGTCTACGTAGTCCATAATAGTTAAATATTCTTGACAACTTGAAGGGAAACAAAACATTTTGAAGTCTCGTTGTGACGTCACACCTTCCAACATTTGTCGATCAACTACATTTCACTTTATTATTCTAGACAAATGTTGAGTTTATCTAAACCCAACCATTTCCATTCCTAAGGACCAGTAAACTCGCTAGATTTGAATTTTCTGCCATCCAACATAAATTCAAAACAAGCGAATTTATTGATGTATAGACACCACTATAAAGGGTGAGAAGGTGGATAAAATATACATGATCAAAAAAGATATTTTCAGCCCCGTGGGGATCCGGGTTAGAATAGGTCCTCAGTACCCCCTTGCTTGTCGTAAAAGGCGACTAAATGGGGCGGTCCTTCCAATGAGACCGTATAAACCGAGGCCCCGTGTCACAGCAGGTGTGGCACGATAAAGATTACTCCCTGCTCAGAGGCCGTAAGTGCCGAGCATAGGCCTAAATTTGCAGCCCTTCACCGGCAATAGTGACGTCTCCATATCAGTGAAATATTCTGGAGAGGGACGTTAAACAGTATACAATCAATATCAAAGAAATTTAAAAATAACAATGTTTAGAACCATTTCCAGCTTAGTTTGGACTTTTAGTAAGGCGTGGTATTTTCGACGTTTCATAATTAGCTTCAGAAATTAATACAGCTTCCCCTCACTGTTGAAATAAATACTGAATTAAAAAAAAAGTGTGTGTGTGTGCGAGGGTGCGTGCGTGTGTGTGTTTATTCCAAAATTGGGTGAACACGGACTTTAAAATGTAAAGCAGATAAAGAGACAATAAAAGTTTTCATATGAAACCGAAACTCCAATAATCAGTGACATGTTCTTTGACAACAAAGGTATTCTTACATTATAAATATTTGTTATCTGTCTCTGTCGAATCAAATAGAAAAAAAGGTGTATTGTTTAAAAATGTTCATAAACTGTATACTTTGTATTAAATACGCTGGTTTTAGAGTTACAGTAACGGATAATCATTATGTACCTGTCAAAAAATGCATGGACAGTGGTGTAAAATGCATGTGAAAATAATTCATTGAAAATGTACCGATTTTACTAAATTCTGCGACAAAATCGACTTCTTTCGGTCGTGATCAGCTGTGTGTGACGGAGTAATAGAGAAATGCAAGAAAGTGGCGGAATGGTGCTGGATTAAAGCTTGCAAATATTCTATTTCAATAAATTATAGTACCCGATACTGATGAACAGCCCCGTATACCCTAGAAACCCTTAAAGTAAGTCAGTAAGAGGTCTTAAGCGAAATCCAATATGGCAGGTAGTTGCAAGCCTTGGTTATTTTATAGTATAGAGGGGGTAGACCTAATAACATATACTTATCTTTCTTCATTTACAGACTTACATGGGGAGCGCCTAAGGATAATAGTAAGGAAAAATTCAATGAATATGTATTTTTGGATTTTTTTGGATATCATATAAAAATGTATCTTCAGCTTTTTTGTGCTCCGTCTAATTAACAAGATACCAGCACAAATAGCAGCACTAAATGTTGTAAAATAAACAGCAACTCAGAAAATAAAAATTCCATACAGTATCATTTTTATGCAGAGTAAACTCAGTTTCGATTAATTTGAGCTCCTTTGGCGTAAGCTCCACTGAACTCTAAAAATTGTGCACTAGCGGATTTGTAAATACTGTAAAAGCAGAAATGTTCGTGGGGGATTAAATTTTGGGGTTTTTTCGTTTACAATTATCAACAAAATCTGCAACGAAATTTCTATATGACTATATTTATTGAATAGGATAACTTTAAAACAACGAAATCAAATGTTCTCAAACCTATTTTAGATGACAGATCAACGAAATTTTATCCCCATGAAAATGTGTGCTTCTACAGTATTATTATACCCCCTCTCCGAAGAAGAGGGGGTTTACTGTTTTAGCCTTGTGTGTCTGTCCGCCTGCGGAAGAGGGCCGGGCTCTATTGATTATGCTATGAAAGTGCATTCCTACAAAACCGGTTTCTTTACGTAAAGTTTCGGTTAAGATATATTTAATCAATATTGTCTAGGACAGAACAGATAATGTTAAACTAAACTTGCGGTCAAAAGAACTTCTAGCTTGTCCTCAGATGAAGTGATTTTATCTTGAATATTTTAAAGATTAAAAAGCTTAATATCAAAACAAAACAAAAAAGATTTGTGATTTTCTTCAGAGAAGATGGTCAGACAATTATGAACAAGCAATCAAAGACAATAATGAACAAGCAATCAAATTAACCGTTTGCCGTTTTTTTTAAATATGAAATTTCAATCTTAACAAAACTGTGATTCCATTATTAGACGTCCAAAGTTTTTCTTCGTTCAATAAAACTGAGTATAAGTTAACTGCAATCAAGTTTCAGAAATACTGATTAACTTTGTTTGAATAGTTATCTTTTACACAAATTTATAATACTTTTACATTTTGTAGAGATGGATTATATTTTGTAAAGGCGTTTGTCATATATAAATTTTAGGTTAATTTACCTTTAAAGAATTAAAACTAACTTGAATTCCAGTAGATTTAATTCACATTAATTTAACTCTTACTTATAGTTAAACTTTACATGTAGATTTTTTGCATGGAAAATTTTCACAATTGGTGATCGATAAGAGAGGAAAAAAGTTTACATAAAATTTATTTAGCCATGCTAATTTTTAATCAAAAGAAAATTTTCAGCTTTACATACATTACTTGAACCGTAGATCACACTCCCAAAGGGAAAGTAAACTTCTTACAACAGTTTTAACTTCCTTGATTTCCCAGAGTATTAAGTTAATTGCAGTTTTGGTTGGAAAATTTCCACAATGCTTGAATGATCACAAAATGAGCAATTACACGTAAGAGTTTTATGTCAGTTTGTAAATGTGAGGGGAAAACTTTTAAATTCTAGTATCAATAACTTTTTTCTGATTGATTTATTTCGAGATTTTGAACAAATTTTAAAGTATGTTTTATTATCAAGATAAAATTTAAGATATTATGCTTTGCAATCAATGACAATTTGCTTTCTTTCCCCTTTTCACATTTTTTATACCAAACTGTCTTGCAGTCACTTCTAAAAATTAGAAATTTCATTACTTTTCTTTTTAAAATTAATAAGAAATCACATCATATCTATAAAATACACACGTTTACATTCACTCAGTTGAAATTTGCTGTACTCTTTTGTTGACGAAGGAGTCGAAAAAGATATGAGAATACCATTTAATAAACGAAGAAACTATAGTGGCTCCCCATAGATGCGAGAGTCATGGAACCCCATGCCTGACACGCAGGGCAGCTAGACACACAAGGTATACAGCTTTTCCGCCCTTTCTCTGAATTCTTCATTAACACCAACCGGCCTGTTGCATTTCCTCCGTTATAATGAGGTACATGTAGAGGGTTTGAGCACTGCTGCAGATCCCAAGTATTTACATTTCATCCACACATTTTCTCAATAGCATTTCATATATTCCCCCGGTGTATTAACAAAATCAACTATTTGGTGCATTTTCATTTAGATTAAAAGGGCCTCTTCCAAAATTGTTGAATTTGTGACCTAAGGGGTAGGGGTTCTGCGGAAGAGGGGCGGGCTCTATTGATTATGCTGTGAAAGTGCATTATTTCTCAGAAAATCCTTTTCTCTGCTCCTCTATATGTTTAATGTGTTCAGCAGATAAACTAAGTTTATAGTATTGTATTGGTATGTAGGGGGTGCCTCTTCTAGAATTGTATCTTGATCTCAGGGCTGGGTCAGGGACTCTGGTGTTGGGGCGGGTAAGTATTGAACATAAAATGATTTATTCTTTCTAAATGTTCTCTCCCCCTGTACATATATCGTAATAATGGTTAATATGATCAAGGGTGCCTCTTCTAAAGTTGTCAAATTCGCGGCCCTAGAATTTCACAATTTTGGCAAAGGTAACCTCTCCACCGGCAAATGGTGGCGTCTACATATGATTGAAAAATTCTGCAGAGGGACGTAATACAACACGCAAACAAACAAATGATGAGCAAGGAAGCCTTCTTCCAAAATCATAAATAACTTGGCCCCTGGGTCAGGGATTCTCATTTTATAGCATGTTAATGTGAACTACATAAATTAATTCTACCACATATTTATGAAAATATATCAAGTTACTTTATTGACATTAAACTCTTTTATTATTATATTTATTGTGCTTTAATCTGATATATTATATAATAGTCAATATAACAATAATACAATATTGTATTTCTAATGCATAACGTTTCCAAAATATTAAAATTTCAGGTGAAGAGTACAATTAAAATATAATGTTACTGATAGACAAAAAGACGGTCACCACAATTTAAAGGATATTAAATGTGTTTATTTTAAACTTCCCTTTTCTTGTCTAAATATTATTTAAACCTAAAAGCGTTTCCTTTGAATGCATTTTAAAAAAGAAAGGAAACAACAACTGAAAATTCATTTTTAAGGTGAATGAAAACTAAAAAGAAGGGAATTTTTTTTTTACATACATGTATAAACAAATATAGAAATGATGCTTTAAATTTCAAATCCTCTTAATTAAAAAACTTATCTGCCTCAGGCGTTTATATTTCAAGTCCAATTTCATCATCGTTTAATATAATAAAGCATCGTCTATTAATTTAAATAATTGAAAAAAAGGATTCAATGATATATAGGAATGATACAGCTGTATATTTACATCCACTTTTTCAAAGGCGAAGATTTCAATCAACATGAGTGGTGAATTTTTTAGGTAAAAACATACTTTAAAAATTATGGTTATTTTTATCTGGTCGAATTTTCCAAGAGCATTCAAATAAAGCGTATTTTTATATGTAACCTTTTACTACATATACGTTAAACAAGAGAACGCCTAGACAGGCTATTCCTTGCTTAGCCATTCTAGTATTTATTATTTTTATAAGGAGTAAGTTATATTTGATCGTTCGAAAAAAAAAGGTCAATGCAAATAAAACAACTACATTTGTCCAAGGCTCTTTCAGTATTTACTCTGTGTGTGTTTGTGTGTGTGTGTGTGTGTGGAGGGGGGGGGGGGGGCACATGTTGATATTATTGTAAGATAACATTCATGTGGTCTAAATATTTTTTTCCTTTCATTTGTTGACTACTATACTCTGTCCCACCAAGTTACTGTAAGCACTTTTCGCATAATATCTCAAAATATATAAATACCTTGGCCTTCAACCCAGTTCCGATCGGTAGATCATTTTTTTTCCAACCTTCCTCCATTTATCCGAACCCTCGAGGTCAACCAGTGCACGCACACGGCGGCAAATTCAAAGTCTACGGAGATTTAACATTGTCAAAATGGCCACCACTTCGGAAGGGGATCATCCATTGTTCGTAATTTTCCGTACATTGCCGTCTGTAAGGACATGACGTCACACACGTTCGGGATTGCTCTATTGTTATCGACGTCCGAAAAACCTATAACGCCCGAGACTGCCAAGCATATATTTATACTATGAGAAATATTACGTCTTCAACAAAACAACAAAACTTTCCTACCCAGACTGAGACCTAAGGGATCAAAGATTCATAAAAGAGTTATACACTGCATAAAGCAGCTGCAAAGAGGTATGACTCATATATATTCATACATAACATCGAGGCTAGGCTACTGCAAATTTAGCTCGAATCAAACTGCTGCTTTTATATTTTATTGCCAACACGTAGAGATCAGTCGAAGAAATATCAATAGTATTAAGATTTTTAAAAGTTATAATTGCTGCCTTACCTTAATGTTTCGCCTTAGCTTTCCATATAAATCCAACCCCTATAATAGTTTGTTGTAAACTGTAACATGTGTAACACACGGTCAAAATAAGCATCATGATCATATGGTTTCTATGTAAACAAGTGATGTCCTTATATGCACATGCTACAGTATTTCCTGACTTTGTTATATTTCCAACGCTTTAAACACATAAATCCTTCGTTGATATTTTATTTTGAACCTCAGTGCAAAACAACATTTGTTGTCTGCATCAAACTACGTCACCAATTTATTTTGACCTTGCCCTTCCAAAACTTCATGTAATATCGGTGTTAGGTAAATTCAGACCCATGATATACCATTTTTGTTTCCCATAAATATGACAGAATACCAAAAATTTAATACTTATTCATATAAACAAAAAATTAAAATATGTATATACATGTATTAAGGCCAAAAAATAATAGTCTTGTTCCCTGCTACCAGCCTGAAAAAAAATAGGGCAAGTAGGTAGGAAAAATATTTTATTTTTTTAATTTAATTTTTTCTAAACTGTATTTTTTGGATATGAACCCAAATTAAACATCAATAGTAGCTATTGAAATTAAATCAATGTCTTTTGATGCATAACTCAGTATCAGTATTGTATGAAAGTCTATATTCAAAACATATATTTCATGAAATACCACTTGAATATATATATTTTTTTTCACTTTTGAAACATGAAATTTATGAAATTCCAGATTTTTCCCCAAAACAAAAAAAAAACTTCAGAGTCGGGTGCAAAAAAATAGGGTAGGTCAGGTATAGCAGGAAACAAGACTTTTTTTTTGGCCTTTAAACGCAAGGGTGAAGGATTAATTTTTTTTCTCTTTATAAAACTATTTAACAGAAAACATTTTATGAGTTTTCAGAACAAAAATTTCATTGTAGGATACTAAATAGCTACCTGGTGAAGACACAAGATAGAAAAGGACAAACAAACATGTATGTGTACATTACATACATTAAGCCATAAGTATACCTGCGGATATATTGTAAGTATGAAAAAATGCAGATGTCTTGAGTTTGATTTTCAGTCCCAGCAAAATTTTTTCCTTATGCATTTGTAAATTTTCAAAGTATGTTTATTCATTTTTCATTGACAATTCCCTAGTACACAAACATGTATATATACCTAGTAGTGTATCAGTCCAGCCCTGATCGTGATACAGACGTTTCGGACTCAGTGAGACAGATCGAACCTGGTGAGTTGGGCTTTCTCGCCCTCCTGGCTGAGATATGTCTGTCTCGTCCCATTGTCAAGGAGCTGTATCGCCCTTTAATTTCAAATCATTATTTCTGTTTAATTTGTGTGAATCAAGAATAAAATTAAATTAAAGAGTTATCCTTCCTGGCTGAGGATCCAAGTATCTTTACAGATTTTTAATAAGTTTTGTAAAATTAAAAAATTGCTTCAGACATAAAACACTTTTAGATTACAGGATAAACCAGTTTGTTTGAACTGTTTTCATTGTTTTATTAAGTAAAATTTAAAAATATTTTAAAAGAGAAATAAATTGTTTGTCCTATATTTATAATCCTTATAAGGACATCAGATTAAATTCAGAAGAATAAATGTTCATAAAAGTCAAGCGTCCACTGATGCTGGAGAGTCCATGTTGTAGAAAAGACATGAAACAGAAGTGAGAAAATGTCAACATCAGTCATCTATGAATGAAGATGGAGATCAAGTCTATATTCTAAAATTTCTGAGGAAAATGGTGTTGTCTGGCTCATCCAATGATCACTCCATTTGCAGACTACCAGGTAATGATGAATCTTTGGTTTTGTCAATACTTTGTGCCTGAAAAAAATAATGATAAAACATTTTAATTTGTCATAAAGATTCAGTGCATAAAAAATACTTTTAAATTTGTGCAAAGTGAAATTTAAAGATACATGCTCATCATATTACATGTAACATAAATTATTTATTTATTTATTAAAAATACATATACTTGGTCAATTCTCATTTTCAGCCAGGTTCCAATCTGAAGTATACATAGGAAGAGCAAAATCTTTTTCATTCATATAAACACTTACTAGCTGTGATCCAGAAGAATGTCCTGATTGTTTTGTCCAACATAAGATGAATTTCAATCCAACACATTATTCTGAAAAATTGAGTGAACAGTCTTCTTCATGCAGGCATGTCTTTGTTACAATATCTCGACTCTGCATGGTCATCATAACTTCAGACTCTTGTGAATTATGTAACCTATAAAAACATCATATTGTTACAGTAAGTAATAAAAGTAAAATTAAATATTCTATGCTTCAGTTTTTATTACATTGTTTTGATCAATGTTTGTTTATTCTTTTAAATGGTGAGGTTGTGAAGTATTAAAGTATTGAAGTTAATATTTTCTCAAATTTTCTGTAAAATATCACGATTTATATATATCAAAAGCATTTCGCACGAAAATGTTACAAGAGGCCCATGAGCCACATCGCTTACCTGAATAGCTTTGACCATGCAGTTCTTTACCAAACTTCCCCCTTGTTATACCTTTTGTGACCCCACCCTACCCCCGGGGTCATAATTTGGACAATTTAAAATCTACACTACCCCACAGTGATTTCGCATAGGGCCAAATAAAAAAAATGACGAATAATGACCCCTACACACCTATGTTGACTAGTATATTATCATGCCCCATCTTAATGCTACCTGCAAAGCAGTGATAGGTATATTATGAAGAAACATTTAAAATATCATTTTGTAAAAAAAAAAAATCCCCTTCCTACCTAACCTAATTTTTAGCTCATCTGAGTCGAAGGCTCAAGTGAGCTTTTCTGATCACATTTTGTCCGTCGTCCATCCGTCTGTCTGTCTAGCTGTCCGTCTGTCTGTCCGTCTGTAAACTTTTCACATTTTCGACTTCTTCTCAAGAACCACTGGGCCAATTTTGACCAAACTTGGTACAAAGCATCCTTGGATAATGGAGAATTAAAATTGTTAAAATAAAGGGCCAAGTCCCCTCACAAGGGGAGATAATCAAGAAAAGACAAAAATAGGGTGGGGTCATTAAAAAATCTTCTTCTCAAGAACCACAAGGCCAGAAAAGCTGAAAATTATGTGGAAGCATCCTGGGGTAGTGTAGATTCTAAATTGTCCAATTCATGACCCCCGGGGGTAGGGCGGGGCCACAATGGGGAATCAAAGTTTTACATAGAAATATAGAAGAATTTTTTTTTAAAATCTTCTACTCAAGAACCACTGGCCCAGAAAAGCTGAAACTTATGTGGAAGCATCCGTGGGTAGTGTAGATTCTATATTGTCCAAATCATGACCCGGGGTGGGCGGGGCCACAATGGGGAATCAAAGTTTTACAATGGGGAATCAAAGCATCCTATGGTAGTGTAGATTTCAAATTGTCTAAATTATGATCAGTGGAATAGGGTGGGTCACAATATGTATTACAAGTGGGAAATCTGGTAAAGAACGGAATGGTCAAAGCTTCTCAGGTGAGTGATGTGACCCATGGGCCTCTTGTTTTGATGGTGTAACCAGAACCTCACCTATTTTTTTTTATTTGGCCTAAGTTTCAGCTTTGCTTGCCAAGTAATTCCCAAGAAGAAGATTTTTTTAATAGATTTTTCTTTTATATTTCAATGTAAAACTTTGGTTCCCTATTGTGGCCCCACCCTACCCCAGGGGTCATAATTTGAACAAGAGGCCCATGGGCCACATCGCTCACCTGAGCACTGTGGCTAGGAAAAAGTAGAATTGGTTTAATATTGAAAAGTTTAAATCCAAAAGTAGTTCCATGACCAATCAGGGCTTTGCTATTCTTGAGAAAATGATCTTTAAAGAATTTTCCTATATATGTCTATGTAAAATTTTGGTCGGCCATTTTGGCCCTGCCCTACCCCCGGGGGTCATGATTTGAACAAATTTGAATCTACATTACCTAAGGATGCTTCCACATAAATATGATGAATTATGGCTTGGTCATTCTTGAGAAGAAGATTTTTAAAGAATTTTCCTATATATTTCTATGTAAAACTTTGGTCGGCCATTTTGTCCCTGCCCTATCCCCAGGGGTCATAATTTGAACAAACTTGAATCTACACTACCTGAGTTCTGTGCTTCCAAATAAATATGATCAATTATGAGCTTTGTTATTCTTGAGAAGACTGTATATTTTTGCGCACAAAAAAATTTTCCGGTTCTCGGTATATATTCTCTATGTAAAACTTTGGTCGGCCATTGTGGCCCCGCCCTACCCCCGGGGGTCATGATTTGAACAAATTTGAATCTACACTACCTGAGAATGTTTCCCCATAAGTTTCATCTTTCCTGGCACAGTGGTTCTTAAGAAGAAGATTTTTAAAACATGCCATCAAATTTTCATTAATTCCCAATTATCTCCCCTTGAATGAGGGCGTGGCCCTTCATTTGAACAAACTTGAATCTCCTTCACCCAAGGATACTTTGTGGCAAGTTTGGTTGAAATTGGCCCAGTGGTTCTTGAGAAGAAGTCGAAAATGTGAAAAGTTTACAGACAGACAGACAGACGGACGCCGGACAAAATGTGATCAGAAAAGCTCACTTGAGCCTTCGGCTCAGGTGAGCTAAAAATGTAGAATCTACACTACCCCAGGATGCTTCTGGAGGTTTCACAGCTTTTCTGGCCCAGTGGTTCTTGAGAAGAAGTTTAAAGATGCTGAGGGAAAAATATACACTTGAAAGATTAGAGGGAAGATTGTAACATGTATAGACATCACTGATCAGGTGCTCAGAGCTTCAAAAATTCATTCCCAATACATGTATTTAAAAGAGACAGGATATTTTGAAGATTTTGAATATTATACTAGTAAACTTACTGCTTTTGATATGCATAATCATCTTTACTTTAGCCAAAGGTTTCTGGTCTGCTTCCTTCTTTATACTGCAGTGGCTAATTCAAGCTAAATATTGCTGAAAGAAAAGAAAGTGTCAAAAATGTGTATAACAGTACATCAATTTCATCATAAACTAGAGTGTTCCAAGGAACACATGTGTCACTTTTTTTTAGCTTCTTTAACATGTTTAAAGATGTATCTATAAAATCTAAGAGTGGTCAGCTATTTTTATGCTACTAGCATATACAGTATGCAACCCTCAACTGAATAATTAAGTTGAAATCATTATAAATAATTATTTATTAATTTACATGTGATAATATGCGTTTCAAAGCAATTGTCACATTGCATGATCCACTTTGTGGGATCCAATCCTGATTTATTTTCATAATATTTAAGCACAGGCCTTAAGATCACTTAGAAAAAAATTGAGGTGTAAAAAAAATATTTCTTTTACACACACAATTTTTTTTTAGTGATCCAAAGGCCTGTGTAATTAAAATATCAGTTTGTGTGGTTTACTGAATAATATCATACAGTTTCAAAGAACAGTACATGTATTATGAGCTCATAAACATGTACCCATATAAATGTAAATTATCAACACCCGCCATTTAAAAGTCTTCAGTTAATTTAAATTGTCTGGGGTATTCTTTGTAAAGTAGGTCAAAGCTGAAAGGTCAAGTCAACCAAGCTATACAAATACAGTACTAGTAAATAAGGACAACAATATAAAAAAAATCATTTGATGTACTCGGACTGATCGACCCATCATAATATTGCCCCAACCCAATCATTTTTTCAGCACTTTGAATTTTTGATTTTTTAAAAAAATTTTGTTTCATTTATTTATAGAAATAGAGACCATTCATTTTAAAACTGTGGTATAAGATTTCTCTTGGATGCTTTAAGATTCAAAATTTTTTAACGATAAATATTTCATCTGTCAAGTTATCCAGTGTGTATTGAAAAAATTAATAAATTTCTGAGTCTGGAATTTTTTAATGACACTTTAATATCAATTTGATCAATACAGCTATTAAGCCAAAAAAGATACCTACCTACCTACCTTGAAAAATGTGTGTCAGAGTACATCAAACATAAATATTTTTATTATGGCCTACGGTTTTTAAAAACAAATACTTAAAGCGGCATTGTGAAGCACAAAGGGGAAAATTGACAAATGTAGAATTTTTGCATGACTCTTATTAATTTTGTTCCATTCCTAAAAGTATTAGGTTTCAGAGAATTACGGGTTTCAGAACCTACAAATTCTATTTTTAAGGAGAAAAATAAAAGTAAAAATAATTTTTGTATGCTCCAGACGGAAAATATTGCTCAATACTTCTTCCACCCCATTGTACGCCTGCGCAGAAAAGTTGAATAAGTTTCCATAGTTACCATGGTCTCAAGTACCCAGGAATGAATGTAAGTAGACCAAAATTTCATAGGCAATCTTTTAAAACGTTAGGACATATGTCATAGTTTACACCTTTGCATGCTCCAGTTGAATGTTGTTTACAATTTTGAGCTAAAAATAAAAGTGGCGTGACCTTGACAAACACGAAAACAACGAAACGGTAGATACAACCTTTGTTTTTCCGGCACTTATGTCGTGCAGTTTTTCCTTGCAGTTTAATTGTCATATCTTAGCTATATACTCATAATTTTCATAAATCTTTCTCTGTATGCTACAGATATCTTAAGAGAAAGACATGATTTTGACTCATTGTGTCCTTTTAAAAAGAAAATCTTCTAGGAATTAAGGAAACAGAAATTTTCAAATTAAGTTCACATTTGAGCAGTATAGGTTTTTACATAAAAAACGATGCTGTTGTGCCACTATAAATTGGTCTTGTCCTAGCTCTCCCAACTCAGGATTAGGTTGGTAGGTTGAAGAGAAAATTATTCTCAAAAAAATTATAATTATAATTAAATTTTAATAAATAAATTTATTCTCCAGAATACAAAAAAAAATTAATTGCTTCCTAGAGATTTAAAATAAAGTTTTGAGTCATTTTAGCCAGTTGCTTGGAACAGGGCAATCAAACAGTTTTTTAAAGATGTTATTTATTTGCAAACTGCATGAAATGTTATAAATTGAAAATGAAAGTAGAAATAAAATTTTAAAACTTTAGTCACTATGTTAACCAGCTGTTATTTTCTTTTTTGGTATTATTTCACCTAATTTTTTAAACCATATTCTTGTTCTTTTATAATCATAGAAACACCCCTTTACATTTTTCACACATGGGCTTACATACAGACCGTTACAGAGCACTAACGGTTAACCATGAGCACTAACCAGATGGCTGAAATTGATGTATCGTCGATATCTAATGTCAGCAATATCACGCGTTTTGCAATATATATATTGTTAGCATTTGTAGACACTTCTTTCTTGTGTGTATATAAGCTAGTAAAACAACAACAGCTGCAAAAAAACCCATAGAATATATAAACAACTTACGTTTTAAACACTGGCGAGCTTGCATCATCATGTCAACATCCATTATCCACAAGTTGTACTTCGTTAGATTCGGACTATTTTCTCGCAGTTTATTATTAAATTTGTTAAATGCTGTTAAAATTTATTTTAATTCAAAGTAAAAGTTATATTATCAATAAAAGCAATTTAAATTAATTCCTTTAATTTTTAACGATTTTTTGGAAATTTACTGTGCAAAGAACGACTACTCCCTTCGAAAACTGGTTCCCGGCCCCGTAATCTAGACGCTAATGGACGAGTTTACCATGTTAAATCTCCGTAGACTTTGAATTTGCCGCCGTGTGTGTACACTGGTTGACCTCGAGGGTTCGGATAAATGGAGGAAGGTTGGAAAAAAAATGATCTACCGATCGGAACTGGGTTGAAGGCCAAGGTATTTATATATTTTGAGATATTATGCGAAAAGTGCTTACAGTAACATGGTGGGACAGAGTATAGTAAATTTGCATGTAAATTAGGTATCTGTTTACTTTCCCGATTGATGAATGAGTCGCAGTGCATTGTGGGCTACTACAAGTTTCACTATAAACACTGTGTATTGACAAGAGGCCCACGGGCCTTATAGGTCACCTGAGTATTGTGTAACAACTTTCAAACAATTAAATTTGGTTCATGTTTTAAACCAGAGGCCATGAAATTCACAATTCACAATTTTGAAAGAGGCACCATTGCTTATCATAATTAAAAAACTTAGCATGCTTACTCTACTTATTCAATACCCAGAGGTAGATCAGAGTTACAAAGAGAAAATGTTCTTCCACTTTTTAACCAGTTGTGCACCTCACCCCAAAAGAACCACTGACCCTGGGGCCACATATTTCAAAATTTTGCAAATTTTATCGTAAAATGGTTGATTAATACCAAAGAGCAGATTTCAAAGCATTAATTTGTTTTCAGACTATGTAACCCCCCCCCTTGACCCAGGAGGGGGGCATAAAAATAATCATTTTGCTAGATGCATCTTTCTTCATCATAAATATATATACTTGGATCATTAGCATAAACCCAAAAGCAAAGGAAAATATTTTCAAAGAATTAATGTATTTTTACTGAATAATCAAAAGAGCCCTAACACCTGAACCCCTGATTCTGGGGCAATAAAATTCACAATTTTGGAAAAGACACTTTTGCTTATCATAACAATGTGCCTAATTAGTTTATTTAATACTCAGAAGCAGAGAAGATTTTCAAAGAATAAATGCATTTTCACTATATAATCAATAGAGCCAGCCCTAACACTAGAACCCTTGACCCTGGGGCCATAAAATTCACAAATCTGGAAGAGGCACTCTTTTTCATCATAACAATGTACTTAGTTAGTTTATTTAAAACCCAGAAGCAGAGAAGAAGATTTTCAAAGAATAAATGCATTTTCACTATATAATCAATAGAGCCCCGCCCTAACACGGGAACTCCTGACCCTAGGGCTATAAATTTACAATTTTGGAAAAGGCACTCTTGCTCATCATAACTTTGTGCTTAATTATTTTAGTTTATTTAATACTCAGAAGCAGAAAGGAAGATTTTCAAAGAATAAATTCATTTTCACTATATAATTTATAGAGCCCCGCCCTAACACTAGAACCCCTGACCCTGGGGCCATAAAATTCACAAATCTGGAAGAGACACTCTTGCTCATCATAACTATGTACTTAGTTAGCTTATTTAAAACCCAGAAGCTGAGAAGATTTTCAAAGAATAAATGCATTTTCACTATATAATCAATAGAGCCCGCCCTAACACTAGAACCCCTGACCCTGGGGCCATAAAATTCACAAATCTGGATGAGGCACTCTTTTTCATCATAACAATGTACTTAGTTAGATTATTTAAAACCCAGAAGCAGAGAAGATTTTCAAAGAATAAATGCATTTTCACTATATAATCAATAGAGCCCCGCCCTAACACGGGAACTCCTGACCCTGGGGCCATAAAATTCACAAATCTGGAAGAGGCACTCTTTTCCATTATAACTATGTACTTAGTTAGTTTATTTAAAACCCAGGAGCAGAGAAGAAGATTTTCAAAGAATAAATGCATTTTCACTATATTATTTATAGAGCCCCGCCCTAACACTAGAACCCCTGACCCTGGGGCCATAAAACTCACAAATCTGGATGAGGCACTCTTACTCATCATAACTATGTAAATAGTTAGTTTATTTAAAACCCAGAAGCAGAGAAGAAGATTTTCAAAGAATAAATGCATTTTCACTATATAATCTATAGAGCCCCGCCCTAACACCAGAACCCCTGACCCTGGGGCCATAAAATTCACAAATCTGGAAGAGGCACTCTTGCTCATCATAACTATGTACTTAGTTAGTTTATCTAATACCCAGACGCTGAGAAGAAGATTTTCAAAGAAATAATGCATTTTCACTATATAATCTATATAGCCCCGCCCTAGCACTAGAACCCCTGATCCTGGGGCCATGAATTTCACAATTTTGGTAGAGGACTCAATGCTTATTACATTCATGCTAACAGTTTGCCTGCTTGATGTCCAGGAGTAAAGAAGAAGATTTTTTAAGATTGCAACAATTTTAGTGGTTTTGGCCCCACCCCTCAGGCCCCAGGGGGGCGGGGACCATGAAATTCACAATTTTTGTTCCCCTTTACCCATAGATGCTGCATACCAAATTTGGCTGAAATTGGTTCAGAGAAGAAGCTGAAAATGTTCAAATGTTAACACACGACACACGACGCACGACGATGGACGAAAACTGATGGCAATAGGTCACCTGAGTTACTCAGGTGACCTAAAAATATATACCAATTTGAATCGTCCTTTGGAAAGTCATTTTTAATTCTTTCTCGGAATTTACGATATAAATATTTAAAATTAAGTCTGATCTTTCATTTCTATGCTCACATTTAAAAACTTTTCTTCATGAAGCCATATATAAGCGTATTTAAATGCTACATTGTGCTGAGGTATGTGCTGTTGAATTGGAAGCGGTGAGCATGTTTTTCACGTGATATCCATGGGTTTACACAACAATAAAGAAAAGAAATGGGTAGAATGGTTGAAGTTTTCTTTAAGGGCAATTCTCAGAATGCTTAGCAAATTTTGTTTGGTGCTAGCATTCTTTTTAATTCAAATGTCATTCCAAAAACTGTGTTCATTTCCCGAACATAAAATATATGGGACAGACATAATTTTGGATTGCAGACATATTCCTGTTGGCATTAAAAATGCCAAATCAAATTATGGATTTCGGGATATGCGGAGAAATATTTGTCCTTTTTTTGTTAGTTCAGTCCCCCCCCCCCACTTTCAATTTGCTTCCGACGCATATGTTACACGTTTACAAGTGACAAACAATGACTACTAGAGTATTTTTCACATGCAATCTTCAACAAGGGGAGATCGAGGTGGGATTCTTCAATTTAAACTATCTTAAGTAGCTGTAACTAAATTAATTCTAGTAACAATTATAAAAACATACTAGTACAGTGTTCTTTTTGCATCATCTAAAGATGATATTATTTTAAGAATCATGTTGCTATGGAAACCTATGGATGGACCATTGATCTTGGGTTAATTTAGAGAATAAAAATTCTTACAGGCAGTCTCTGCAAGAGAATTCTAATATATGAATACTAAGGTACATACGTAGCATCGTTTTTTTTTAAAAGTGTGTGGGGTGGGGGTGAGCAGCCAGAGAACAAAATCTTCTACTGACCTAAAAAAATAAAAAATAATAAAAGAAGGAACATTGGAAATTTCTTTTTTTTTTGGGGGGGGGGGGGTATTGCTGCTGGGGGGGGGGGGGGGGGGGGTAAACGACCTTTCAGTAAACATTTTTAAAACTAAAAAAGTTATGTTTCAAAAAATCCCACCGATATGCTACGTTCTTGACTTATACACCCTTCCTTTGTATTTTTTTTTTCAATCCCAAAAATCCATTCTCTTTAAGACATTGTAGAGAAAAGCAGGTCCATCTGAGACTGAGCAAAAAAGACCTAAACTGGAGGAAGATATTGATCATGAACCCACGTCTGCATCTTGTACTGTGCAAACGCCTTATTTTGTTGAATCTCAAGTTCAAACTTGCCCAGTTGTCTGTAGTGATCAAGAAGTTCAAACTTCTCCAATTGCTTGTGATCAAGAAGTTCAATGTTGTGTTTTCAATGAAAATGTCGGTTGTCAAGTTGATACAACGTCAGACCTTATTCGTGAATTGTGCGATGAAATTAATATGTTAAAACAGAAATTGCTGAATTACGAAACTATCATAAACGATTTCAAAAAGCAAAATCTTTACAGTTTAACTTCTGAAGCTGATCAAATAAAAGTAATAGAGGAAATACATTGCACTGTCAAAAGATGCCAACAATTTGAAGTATGACAATTTTCGCTATGATGTCAGGAACATCTCTTCCTTATCTTTAGATGAAATTTACAATATACAAACACCAGTTCTTAGAAAAATAATCGATTGTTTGACTCAAAACAACCAGAATTCAGAAATATGTGATAAACGCAAATTTCGAAAATGCTTAGCGATCGATTTGCTCATTTCCGCAAGGCATTTGCGTTACATTTCTCCTCTTTCGCTCGCTCCAATGCTTTTGCTCTATAGTTCTACAGGCAGTAAAACTGCAGTTGAAATTTTTTCGCATACGTTACCATCAGGCGGTTACACTTTTCTGCAAAACTGGTTGTTAGAACTTAAACCAGATGTCTCCACTTGTAGTGACTCAGATTCCGACCTGATTTATGCTTTTGATAATAACCAGCGATTGCAGAAAGTTTGGCTATCGCGAAATGCTAATAAACAAACGTTAGAAGTCATGACAAATATAATAAAATTAGAATTGACAGGTTTTAATGATCAGAAATCTTCAAATCTGCATCCTAATCTTTGGAGAAAATTTTCAACCTTAGATTTTCCAGACGATATTTGTTTTGCAAACAAAGAGGAGGTAAGTTATTTTTTAAGAAAAGCATTTGAGAAAAAGATGACAAAATACAAATTAAAATCGCTGAGAAAGAAA